TAAAAAAGTACTATTTTACCAATAATTAACTTTGAGAATGTTAAAGAGTGATATTAATTTTGTACTCAATAAAACATTTTATTGTACATCTTGCTAGTTGTATTTCTAAAATGCTCTTAGGGAAACTACTTTATATTTAAAAATTTATTTTTTATTTCAATTTATTAAAAACTATAATATTTAACATTAATCTCTTTGTATTAATTTATTTTGATTTATGACAATGTGCTACTCAAGTTATTTTTTTGGGTAATTTCCTATTTTTCCACAAAAAAAAGATAAGAAGTTACATTTAATCATGTAAAATTTATTAAAAAAAAAAAACCAATACAAGTTCGAATAGTTTAAAGAGCATTTGGTTAGAATTCAAAATCCCAAAGTTTAAAAATAATTGAATATAAATTTGTAACTTGCAAGAAACTCCAAAAAGAGTAATTTTCTTCTGTCCAATTACATGATTACAATTTATTTTTCTAAAAAAAAATATTTTTACAGATAAGAATTATGTTTTTATGGTATTATCATGATTGAAAAAATAAATAAAAAACCTCAAAAAAAGGAAACTTCCGTGTGGCGCCAACGTATTGGTCTACGCCCACGGGGAACCTTCGCAATTACCTTTCCATGTAATAAAAAAAAAAAATTAAATATTATAATCCAACTCACTAGAAAAATGGCGGAGATAAAGGAGAAATAATTGGGAAAACGCGTAGATAAAATATAAATTTCTTCTCTTTCCTCACGCGTTATTTTCTCACTGACAAGCAAAATCCAGGTTTGTCTTGTAGCGAAAGGGAGAGCTTTTGTCTTAACAAGAACTAAATTTCCGGCAATTCCCCTCCCTTCTCAAGTCTTTGGTTCAGACTTTTTGGACAGTGTAATCACCGCCACATTTGGCAAAAGCGTTGGTCAATCATTTTGGTTCACTTTGCATATTTGGCCTCGCATTTACCCCACAAAAACAACCTCTTGTTTCTCTGATTCATTGTACTGGACCAAGCTAGGGTTCTTTCACCAGGTATACATATATGGCCATACATGTTCTTTTCCTTTTTGGTTTCATTGTTAGATTTTGGGGTTTTGGATTTTGATTTAAATTCTGGGGTTTTTTTATTTTTTAGTTTGTGTGTGTAGCAGCTGGAGAAAGCTATGAAAGGAAATGGAGGGTATTAGTGAGAGTAGAAGTAATATGCAGAAGCTTCAATCACCACCTTCGAATTCAATCCCCAAACCACAAAGCAACATAGATATACCCATTTTCAATGCTTCTCAAATGGCTTCATCTTCTCCTCATACGCGTTTAAGTCCCGAGAACAATAACAACAAAAGACCCGGGATACCTCCTTCACACCCCAATTACCCTGCTGCTACATCGCCTTACTCACAGATCATTGGTTCTCGTTCCAATTCTCAACAAGGGGCACCGTCTCATTCCAGGTCTCTATCTCAACCCACATTCTTTTCCCTTGATAGCTTGCCTCCATGGAGTCCTCCCCCTTTTCGAGAGCCGTCTGTCGCGTCTCTGTCTGATCCTGCTTGTAATGATGTTTCTATGGAAGAAAGGGTTGTCAATTCTAATGTTAGGTCCTCACTTCCTTCACCTGTCGCTAGAGGGGTTAACGAGTTTCGTGTCGGTGAGAGTTCGAGTTTACCTCCGCGTAAAGGACATAGGCGGTCTAGCAGTGATGTTCCACTAGGATTTTCTGCTATGATTCAGTCTTCGCCTCAATTGCTTCCGATAGGGAGTCGTGGCGTGTTGGATAGGTCAGTTTCGGGTAGGGAGAGTTCTTCTGGTGTGGAGAAACCGATTCAGCTGGTGAAACGAGAATCAGAATGGAGCAAGGATGGGAGTAGTAATGTAGAAGGGACGAGTGAGAGGAAATCCGAGGGGGATGTTGCTGATGACTTGTTCAATGCGTACATGAATTTGGACAGTCTTGAGACGTTGAACTCTTCTGGAACTGAGGATAAGGATTTGGATAGCAGAGCTAGTGGCACAAAGACATATGGGGGTGAAAGTAGTGACAATGAAGTGGAGAGTAGAGTAAATGGACATCCAATTAGTATGCAGGGAATGAGTGCTGGTGCTTCAAATGAGAAGAGGGTCAAGAGGAGTGCTGGTGGAGATATTGCTCCCACTGCTCGGCATCATAGAAGTGTTTCAATGGATAGTTACATGGGAAGTCTGCAATTTGATGACGAATCATCAAAGATTCCTCCTGGTAGCTCAGCGGATGCAAATTCAGGCAAGTTCAACCTTGAGCTGGGGAGTAGTGAGTTCAGTGAAGCTGAGATGAAAAAGATCATGGAAAATGAGAAGCTTGCTGAGATTGCTTCTGTAGACCCAAAACGTGCCAAAAGGTGTTGCACATTGCTTCTTCTTCTTCTTCTTGCTTTTCATTTCTCTTTTTTTTATTGCTTGTGCTGTTGCATATCTGTTAAGATAATTGTACAAATTATTTAGTTAGAATTATTATGCAATACTATCTAGCTTTTTAGTGTTATGATATAATACTGTTACTTAGAGTTAGACAATGAGGATTAGCTTCTGTATATACCCTTATTTATCTATGTAATCATTCTCCATCTATTCATGATAGGATTTTGGCTAATCGTCAATCAGCTGCTCGTTCAAAGGAGCGGAAGATGCGGTACATTGCAGAATTAGAACACAAGGTGCAAACTCTGCAAACAGAGGCAACTACATTATCTGCACAGCTAACAATGTTACAGGTGGGTATAAATTTCTTATATCTGTACCCAATTATTAGACTTTTCTCTTTAATTATCCTGATTAGATACTGAGTTGCTCCTCACAATCTCTTCTTTGTTTGGTCTTCCTTGTTTAGAGAGATTCTGCTGGGCTTACTAGTCAGAACAATGAGTTGAAATTTCGCCTTCAGGCCATGGAGCAACAGGCCCAACTGAAAGATGGTAACATGACTGTTTTTACTATTTACATTTCCAGTCTATTTATTGAGAACGTGCTTGCATCTGCAATACATGTTGCTTGATCTGAATACCTGGTTGTTATGGCATTATTTGTTTAAATCTTTGCTATCATCTATTGGTTACTGAATGTCTTGACTTTCGCAATAAGTTGAACTATTTAGATGCATATAGGGTTATTTAAGACCTACAGACATCCAGAACTAATTGGAGATGAAGGAGGTGGAGGTTTATCAAACATAGGACACATAATGGCCCATTACTAATGGGCAAAGTAACAAGTTTTTCATATGGTATAGATATGGATTGGACAATGTGCAAGAGTGATTAAAACGGGCGTCAAACTTTTTAACCATCAACAACACATACAATTGATAACTCAATATTGTTTGAAAATGTTGAATCCCAAGATGTCCTATCCTATAGTGTGATGAATTTTTTGATGTGACAATGAGATTAAAAGAACAAAATGCGACCATGTAAGGCAAGCCATGATTACAGGAGTTGCGTAGATTTTAAAGAATGGCTACCATTGTTGTAATGATGATGATAGTATCATAAGAAAGCCTAAGGAAAGATTTTTGAAGACAATCAAATTGTTTTGATTTCTTCTTTTGATGTGTGGCTAGGTATTGATCTCTTTTCTTCATTTTGATTATTAGGGAACTATATATTCAAGTATGATTGCACTGGTTAATTTGGTCGCTTTTAATCTTCCTTTTCATTTTGCTAATGCAACTTAACAGTTAATCTAAAATTAACTTTTTAAATATCATGATTTTCGGTGTTGTATAGAATTATGCTAATGATACAGTTGTATTTGAGCTTAAACGTTGGTCTCCTTTCTGGGTTTAATGTGGCAGCACTAAACGAAGCATTAGCTGCAGAAGTCCAGCGACTGAAGGTTACTGCAGCAGAGCTCAGTGGGGAGGCTCATCTTTCAAGCTGCATGGCTCAGCAGCTTTCGCTTAATCATCCGATGTTCCAATTACAGCCTCAGCAACCTCAGCAGGTGAATGTTTATCAGATGCAGCAGCAACAGCAACAGCCACAGCACAGTCAGCATAACCAGTTGCAGACCCTGCAGCAACAGAATGATGACCCTACTGCAAATGAATCTAAGTGATGACTGGCTGAGTTAAACATCAGCTTCCATGCAGCTAGATTTTCGCATCAAGAACTGGATTAGAAATATCAGTGATCAAATAGAGGTTTCTATACCTATAAGATATATTTAAGAGGTTTCTACACCTATCAAATATATTTAAGAGGTTTCTACATCTATTAGATATATTTCTTCTAGTAAACTTTGACCATTATTTCGTTCATTGGGTGCATTTGTCATGCCAAGGCAGTGGAGAGTTGAAGCTGGAACTCGTCCCCTGTCGATTCATTTATCGTAGAGACAGAGACAACCTCAAAAGCATTGTCTATATATGATAGTTATATTTTGTTTTTTCTCTGCATGTAATGACTACATATGGCTACAAGCCTTGGAATATTATAATAATTTCAGAGATGTTATTAATTACTTGAATTTGATTCTTCTTCCCTCCTCCCCTCTCTTGCGACAATGATGGGTGATTGAGAAATGAACCCAATCTCCCAGGTTCCTTATGGTCAGTCAAACTCCACCTTGCCATTGCTGCCTAGCCTCTCATGGCTGCCTCTGTTGCACATAATTACATCCTTACCATCTCCAGGTTTTGGGCTTTCAGCCCAATGTCATCTGCTGGCTCGCTCTTTGGTAATATATTTATTTATTTATTAGTTGTTGAAGAGGATAATGGAAAGGCTAGGCGCGTTAGATTTGCGCTGGCGAAGGAGGAAACCCCCCCCCGATTCTTCGAAAAGAGAAAGAAGGGAAAATCTAAAGACAACGACTTCAAGCTAAATTAAAATGAAATGGAAAAAAAATAAAATCATGATTTTAAAATTAAAAAAAGTTTTTTTTTTAAAAAAAAAAAGAAGAAAGAGAAAAGTGAAAGAGCAACGAAATCTATCAACGAGTCTCTCTCCACAATTTATTTCCCCTTTATTAATAAAGAGTCCCTATTCTTGGAAACCCCAAACAACTCCTTTTTATCCTCTTTTCTTCGCTTAGAAAACATTTCGGTTTCCACTTCCCCCATTCTTGAGTTAGGGTTTTCGGTTCTGCCCTCCTTTCGCCTTTCAGGTTTAAACCCTAATCGCCCCGATCCCCCTCTTACTAGCCGTTATTCCCTCTTTCCCGCCAATTTTGACCTTCATCTGTGGCCGTTGATTGCCTCGTTTCAAATACGAGCCGTTAGATCGGTCCTCATTCGGCTCAACCTTTTTTTTGTGGTCAAAAGCTTTGACCGTTGTGTCCCCCGTGGTTGACCGAAATGTCGACGAACGAACCGGAGAAGAAGGTGGAGGAGGAGGGGGAAGAGAAGAAGAAAGGAGGAGAGCTCTTGTTCTGTGGCTCCACGTGTTGGGACATTGTTGGTCGCCGCAAAGGCGCAGTTGAAGGGAACTTGATTTCTCCCACACGCCTCCGCCCCCTCGTTGGCATTGACATCCGGTTCGTTGCCTCCGGTTGTGGTGAGTTTATAGCTTTTTGTTATGCACCTACTCATATACATTCAAAAGCTTTTGCTTTTTTTTTTAACTAATATTTCTTTTTATCGCAGCGTCCTGTCATTGCGTTGCATTGGATGTTGAAGGGCGATGCTACACGTGGGGTCGCAATGAGGCATGAAAGAGCTCAGCTTTTTAATGTTGTCTTTTTTTTTTTTAAATGCGTGTAGTTAATTTTTTTCTAATTTGGTTATTATTAGTTGATAGAACTTTAGCTTTTATGTATAGAAAGGGCAACTTGGTCATGGTGATACGATCCAGCGTGATAGGCCAACTGTTGTTTCAGAACTCTCAAAGTATATCTCTTTTTTCCTATCGGTTTTTTAAAATTAATCGTGTCTGTATATATTGAATCATCTGAAATTTGTTTAATTGCACTCTGTTGTATCTGTGTTGAAGGTATAAAATAATTAAAGCGGGAGGGGGGAGGAGTCATACAGTTGTAGTTGCTGAAGAGGGTAATTCCCTGGCCTTTGGTTGGAATAAACATGGACAGCTTGGTTCAGGTTCCACAAGAAATGGTAGGTGCAGTAGATTTGGATGAGTACTATATTATTGAAGTTGTGTGGTTGAGTTTCTTTGGTTGTTTTATTCTATTTGGTGGTTCTGATTGGTATTTGTAGATCTCCATGAATGCATTCTTCCATAGATAATGACATTTCGTATCATGTATTTACCAATTTCTTCTTTTTGTAGAAATTGAGTTATCTCCCGTCCGCTGTCTCGTGTCCCAAGTTACAAATACTGCCTGTGGAGCAGACTTTACCGTGTGGATATCATCTGTTGAAGGAGCTTCGATACTGTATGGTTTGTGGTTCTGTTTAGTTCTGTTTCTTGGTTTACTTTCATGGTTTGTACTCCATATTTTCATGCTTTTTCACTGATTTTCACACTTGTTTCTTGGTTTGTAGCACTGCAGGGCTTCCACAGTTTGGTCAGCTTGGCCATGGAACAGACAATGAGGTATGTGGGAAAGGTGATTTATCTTTGATGAGTCTTGTTGATATTTATGTTTCCAGAGCATCACTCACAGAGTTATGCTGCCTGAACATGATATCATTACCAAAAATTTCAGGCATGGTAACACAGGCTCTTGAGTTTGTTTTTGTCCCAGTTGAATTTATATTTTGGACGAAAATTGTTTGAGTAATTGTAGTGAAGGGTGCATAGTAGCATGGCCCCATTCAATACTGTTTTCAGATTATATCTTTAATGTTATATGTTGTTCTAAATCTCTGGATGGCCTTCTATAACTGAAATATCTTGATGCTTTGCCATTCATGTTATTAGTGTGTGTTGCCTAGTGATAGTGTTTGCTGCATTTGTGCATAGTTCTCTTTAATAAGAAGTGCATGCATATATTACCATCAGGAGACCTTTTGTAGTTGGTTTCCTTGCTCTCTAATTTCATGATGCTATCTTTTCCTTGGCCAAAATGCTTTTTGTGTTATCTACTGCCTGTTGTACTTTGTGCATTGTGACTAACATTATGTTTAAGTATTGTTTTCCTCTGTTTTATCTAACCAATATAAGCAGTCTTTGAGACTTTGACTAACCTAGTTGCTAGCCTAAGTAAATGTAGCATATATTGATTTGCTTTTCTAGCGAATGTTTACATGACACTTATGTGCTTGCAGTACAATACAAAGGATAGCTCAGTGCGGCTTGCTTATGAAGCTCAACCACGCCCCAGAGCTATAGCTACTCTTGCTGGGGAAACTATTGTCAAAGTTGCATGTGGGACAAACCATACAGGTTCATGATATGCCTGTTGTCTTTCATGTTCACCTGTTATCATCTAGTGTTGTTTTGCCTCTCCCTCCCCTGTTCTTCTTTTACTTAAACATTCTTCTCATAGTTTATGTTTCTAACTTGTGCATCCAGTTGCTGTGGATACGAATGGCTATGTTTACACGTAAGTTTACTGTTGATTAAATCTGGAAAGCTGTTAGATTTCCCTTTTATTATCCTTGTTCATAAATAATTGACAATATGTTGTGTGAATGTCTAGGTGGGGCTTTGGTGGTTATGGAAGGTTTGTGAAAATATTTACACTGCTGTTGACTACCGCATTGTTCAGTGTTTGATGCGTTTTTAGAAGGCTTAAATCCTTTATGCCTACTTATTTACTTTTTCCTTTTCTGAATCATGTATGTAATTCCTTTGTTACTGATATGCAGGCTTGGGCATAGAGAGCAGAAGGATGAGTGGGCTCCTCGTCGTGTTGAAATATTCCAGAAGCACAATGTTCTACCTCCTGAGGCAATTGTTTCAGCTGGTTCTGTAAATTCGGCATGTACTGCAGGTATTGTTTGTCCTGTAATTTGTGTCTGGAAGCTAATAGTCTGGTTGAAAATCTCTCTGTTAATAGGAAAGGTTAAAGTTTTTTCATTTGTTATGAAGGGTGAAGTGGGGATTAAGGGGAAAGGTGAGGTGGCTGCTCTTTTATAAATTTCAAGGGGAATGAAGTTTTGTAGAATTAGGGGGATCACAAGGACACTCTAGGTTATCATTCCTTCAATAAGCATTGTTTAACTCCTAAGCTAAAGTCTACAGAAGTATGAACACATGGGTAGCCCACCTTGTATTTCAAGAAATGAGGCTAGGCTCCTGAAAACTCTTAGATCAATATAAAATTGATCAGATTGAAGTACCTTTAGTGTGCTTCATCGCAGAAAATTGCAATTCTACCTCTAATGTTGCAACCCTCTAAGTTTAATATCTGCTGTCTGTACTTGTTCTTGGCTTAATTTTTTGTTGAAATCAATGTTCATTTTTATTATTGTGTTTTGTTTGTTTTCCAGGTGGTGGACAGTTATATATGTGGGGCAAAATAAAGACTACTGGTGATGACTGGATGTATCCTAAACCTCTCATGGATTTAAGGTTTGTCTCTACGCCATGGTTATATCATACTTTTATCCTAACAATAATTGTTTCTACTGACATCATGATGAGTGGCTGATTTTGCTTTTGGTTTGGATGTCTCAGGATTATTTTACTTTCTGATTTTGGTTGCTGTATTTTTCCTCCCTTTCAATGGAGCATTCCACCCTGTTTTGTATAGTCATAATCATCAAGCTTTGCATGAAGGTTTCTGATAATCTAGTGTTAGGGTAGCTTAGCTGAGAAGCTTCTGTTATTTGGTTGCATTATCTTGTATGGGGTATTAGATTGCCTTCATTGTTCTGTTATTTTATGCTGTTTATTTTTTTGTGCTTTTTTTGAAGTTTTATGGTATCTCGAGTTAAAGTCAATTAAACTTCATGCTCCTGGTATTAGTTTTCTTATAATCTACTGTTAGGGTAGCTTAGTGTAGAAGCTTCTGTTCTTGGTTGCACTATATTCTATGCTTTTTAAGCGTATTAGATTGCCTTAGTTGTACTGTTATTTTATGCCGTTTATTTTGATTTGGTGCTTTGCTTGAAGTTCTATGGTATATTGAGTTTAAGTCTATTAAACTTCACACTACTGGTTTAAGTCAGTGACACATATTGTCTAAGACACATTTGTCTGTCCCTTTTCTTTCTAGTGGTTGGCATTTACGTTGCATGGATTCTGGCAATATGCACCATTTTGTTGGTGCAGATTCCTCCTGCATAAGCTGGGGCCATGCTCAGTATGGAGAGTTGGGATATGGTCCGAATGGACAAAAGTATGTGTTCTTATTTATCATAACAGCTTTGAGTTTTTTTGTTTTTCTGAGTCTGTCTTTTCTATGGTTTACACTTAACCTTGTATCTTGTTTTAAGGTCTTCAGCAGTTCCCAAAAAGGTAGACATTTTGGAGGGCATGCATGTTATCAGGTGGATATAAATTTAACAGTTTAGTCGTGCACCTATAATACTATGTGCTGTGAATTTTATGTGGAAGGGAAGGTACTGACGAGTGTTTTTGTGTGTCTCTTTGTAGTGTTGCATGTGGTATGGGCCATTCAATTGTCATTGTTGATAGAACAGATGTTGGTGACAGACTTGATCAGGTAAATTTGTAAAGTTACTAAATAGTTTTCACTTCTCTTTATATTAGAGATCAAGTGTCTTCTTTACACTTGATGGTGTACCTTCCGAAATGTATGGTTTTTATGCCAACCACCCAGGAATTGAGCAATATATTTGTGATAAAATCCTTGCTTTGGGTGACTTTATAAATACTTCTAAAAGTTTTGAAGGGCTTAGTTTTTAATTTTATGGACATGAATATTGCTGCAAGCTATTAGTGGTATTAGTCTCAAGAGTCATCTTTCCCACTTTTTGATCATGACTACCAGCTTATCTTGCTGAACCTTTAATTTCTAGTTTGAACCAGGGAGATGTTTTTGTTGCTCGCTACTGACAGCATTGATGTAGTTTGATGTCTTGCACTTGCTGCTGGTTTTTTGCTAATTTTGAGATATTGAAATATAAAGGCTCATGTCTAAATTATTTATGTTTTTTCACAGCTGGATATATATGACGGTAAAACTTCTGGTGAAGGTATGTGTTGAGGATTATTGTGTCTCCATCTTTGTCTCTTTGCAATTGTCAACTAATTGGGGTTATAGTGAGTGACCACTAACATTGTTGTCGTCCAGTTGACAATTACTGAATTTGAAGTAATGGGACACTGAATTATAAATTACTCTTCCTGCAGGGACTGAGTTACCAGATGCCAAAACTCCAGTTTCTAAGCCAAACAATAAAAAACCTGCCAGTAAAACTCCCAATGACTCAAAGAAGAGGAAGAAGCCAAAAGATTCGTCTGACTCAGAGGAAGAAGAAGAAGAAGAAGAGAATAGCGATGTTGGGAGTGATAGCAGTGGAGAACAGGTCAATGGTAAGGTTTCTGGCAGTGGTCGAGGTAAGGGTGCTAAGAAGTCCACTTCAGGGGGAAAAGGCACTGGTCGTGGACGAGGTCGCCCTCCTGCAAACAAAAGTTCGCAGTCCTCTCAAGTAAAAACAGGTAAGAGAGGACGGCCCCGGAAGTCATAACTGTTACACATTCGCAGTCCGATGGGAAATTTTGTTCTCTCACTGTAGAGGAGTGTGCTTCTTTATACATTGGCCACTTTATTTGCATTTTTCCAACAAGAATTGTTTTAATATTATTGCTGTTGAGGCCCTCAAGTCCTCAACTCGTGATCACCTGATGAAACGAATACTCCTGAAGTAACAGTTAAATTGTTTTCTTTTCTTTCCGATGATTGGTGAAGAGCAGTGAGAATATATTTTTGTTCCTTGAAAGGCAGCTTGCATCCTTTTGTTGAAGTGAAGTTCTTACTTGTTTTCTTGTTTATTATTTGGTATGTTACTCCCTCAGCGCTAAACCGCAAAAATCATATTGAAATTAAGAACATTTAATTTTTCGTACCAAGAGAACTGAAGAATTATAACTTGCATCGGCATTTGCCTTAATGTAAAGGACATGAACAAACTGTTGATAAAATGCTCCGAGCTAGGAGCAAAACAGCAAATGAAATCTAGGAGTAAACTACCTTAGGAATTTCTGATCAATTAACCTCAGCAAAGATCATTTTTCCTGGACATGGTAAGGTCTGGATTCACATCGAGGTCCAAGTCCTCCTTAATCATCCCATCAGGCATTTCCCAATGAAATTTGTAAAGAAGCTTAGCAAGCGCGAGCTCCACCACTACAGTTCCCATGGTAATTCCAGGGCAACGTCTTCGACCAGCATCAAATGAGATCCATTCAAAGTCCAGTCCCCTATAGTCAATGGAACTACCAAGAAATCTCTCCGGATAGAAGCTTTCCGGATTTTCCCAAACTTCGGGCTCTCTTCCGATTGCCGATGCACTCACGTAAACTAGAGGTTTAGCTGGAATCTCATAGTTCCCAATGTTGCACTTTCGAATTGTTTCTCGTGGGATTAGCAATGGAACTACCGGTTGTAATCTAAAGGTTTCTTTCACCACTGCTTTGAGATAAACAAGACTTTGGACATCATTTTCATCCGCAAAACCTTTCTTCCCGAACAAATTTCTGACTTCTTCTTGAGCTCTCTTCATTGATCTGGGGTTCTTCATTAAAAAGGTCATGACCCTAACTATTGCAACAGAACTTGTATCCCTTCCGGCGAGAAATACATTCTGCACAGAAAAAGTAACAGATTAGCGAACAGGAGGATTGAGATTCTACCGAGAATAATCTAGAAAAGATTTAATAATCAAAGCAAACTTTTGTTATAGAAGTTGACCATGAGTAAGGCTTTGACGTAATCAAAAGTGAGATCAACCGTAGTTTCACCATCCTTCTGAAGAAACTACTAGGGTTGGCCTAAAACCAAGTCGCAACATCACGAGAGGACCATATTTCTTGGAAAGCTCACAATAGTAGACATGAGGGGCTGAGCTATCAATTTGGTGTAAGTTACCGATCAAGGGAAGGCCTCGTGGACCTGGTGGCAGAGGAGTATTTTCATAGTCCTTTTCTTGTTTTCGGATGAGAAAGAAGAGGAAGAGAGAGAGGGCTAGAAGGAAATTCAACACCATGATTGAACCCTGCGATTGCACCAGGGAATTCAAACAATGAACATTGCTACTCTTACATAGAGGAGCAATGTTCATTTTAGAAGAAAACCGAAGCTAATTGATATTGATTTTGTTGTATGAATCAAACAATTATTAACGTAAACGAAAAGCAAAGAAGAAAACATCAAGACAACGTGATTATTATATAGTCAGAATGAACTCTTCTTATTGATTTTATCTTTATCTTGTTACTTGCATGTCTTTGTCCTAGAGTCGGGCTATAGAAAATTCCCTACTCATCATGACTAATTTGGCTATCCTTCTCTTTGATCGATGGAGTAGGAAAAAAATGATACCACTACTAAAGATAGAAGAGTAGCATTCGCTCCATACATGAACCCTCTTGATTCGTCGTAGACCGTAGAATGTTGTTTTTTCCCCGCGATGAAGCGATTGAGATCGGAGACACGACAGATCAGGACTCGCCCCATGCATCGGCCAAGGGATACGGCATACGGCCACGAACCATCAACGATGGAACAAAGGGTTCAGTTTGGGTCCAGTAGCTCGTGTGATTCATGTCCTAATTTTAGGATCAGATATAACCAACCAATGCAAATAAAAAGCTAACCAACCAATGAGATATAAATATCATGGCCCAAACCATTGAATTATCGTGATTTTACTTATATTTATTGTCTTTTCTATTTTTTGACCAACACAGTCTTAATTAAAAAATATAAGTAAGACGTCGCATGTAGTATTATAATTAATATTTTCTTTAATATCCTAGTTAGTGACATGAGAGCTGGTTAAAGAGTAATTAATCGCAAACAATTTAATTTGACTAAGTTAGTAGTATTATATAATAATAAAAAAGTTAAAATTGAAAATGAGGTTTGTCTATGATGAATTTGGATAACACATCTTTTTTTTTTTTTAGCTTTCTTGCTAGTTGCAATCTATCTTTTGGGTTTCATGGTTTCTTCTAACATGTTGCTTTCATTTTGAAGGCAACTTCATGTATGATGATTTTCTGTTTTCTTAGACAAATAAAATTGCAACAAAAGAGATATAGAGATAAATTTAGTTGATTATTATATCCCTTTTTCTCGAAGCTTGAATGGAGCTTCAAGCCAATAAGTGAATGTGTCTACTTATTGATTGAAAGATTCAAAGAATTATGGAAAAAAAAATGAATTGATCATTCAATTAGAGCATCATGGATTACTTGAAAGAAAGTCAAATTAGACAAAGGTTAATTTAATTAAGGATCAGTAGATTATATTTCTTGAAGCAAAGAAACTTAAAAGATACATTAACATACACGAATTTACTATACCAAATACATAATATAAAATGTTTTTCGCACTTAAGCTACTAGCATAACATTTCATGCGTTAAACGTTAACCTTGCTGGCCACAAGGCAAAGAGCACTTTTTTGTGGACAGTAATACCAGGTACTACCTCAAAGTCTAAGTCTTCCTTGTTCATACCGGTCGGCATTTCCCAATCAAATTTGGAAAGAAGATTAGAGCATTCCTTGTTCATACTACTAGTATAATATGTGGTTTTCATCTTAATATAATCTTGTGGAGGACGTTGTGGTTAAGATCGATCCCTTCGTGAAGAAAGTTGGAAGCAGAGCGTTTCTCACTCGCCCGATGCATGGGCTATGCCTAAGGCCACGACCCATCAACGATAGACAAAGGCTTCAGTTTGGGTTCAATAGCTCATCTGATCATGTCCCAATTTTAGGATGAGATTGTTCGGAAAAAAAACTAGCCCACGTTCTACTACATTATGGGGCTCGACTCTGGACCGTCATGGCTCAAAACTTTGAATCATCCTAATTTTATTTATATTTATTTGGCCACGACAATATAATGATTAATCTCTGCCAAACCTTACATTGCAATTATTCGGAGTCCTTTTACCTCACAGAGCAGTATTGTCTCACTATCTAGGTCCTTGTCAACTTTTGATGATTAAGCATTAAATTAAGATAAGAAATACACTTGGATTAAACATATTTAAATTGATGATCTCCTGATAGATTATATATTATGAAATTAATACGATGGAGAATTTGGATGTGAACACGTTTTAAGCAAACAGGTTGAAATTGATAATCACCTGACAGAAAATATATACTATGAAATTAATTAGATGGAGAACTTGGATATGAGCATGTTTTAAGTAAGTCGTCTTCGATTATGACTGATATATAGTGCTCTAGCACGTCCAAATTGAATTATTGAGAACTTTTAAAATAAAAATATTAAGCATAACCGACTTAATTATAATTAGTAACCTCCTGGGTTATCATGATTCAAGCTTTTGCTGTACATTAAACTATTTGGAAGCAGGAAAATAAGTTTGCTGTTGTTTTTGTCTATTGCCATTCAAATGATGTTTGCTATGATGAATCATGGGGACACAGTTTTTCATTCTTTTTTTGAAAGACAAAAACTCTACTAATTCAACAATCAGGGAATATATAGAGTTCCCCGAAAATTACAACCAGAAGTCTGCAAAATGGGTGCTCTGAAAAAGCAGCGACCCACATGTAGAACAAAATAAAAACAGGAGATTCCGACAATCACAAAATTAACAAGAATCCCAAAACCAAAAAAAGAAGGATAAATTTAGACTAAAATTAACTTAGTTAAGAATTATTAGATTCTACTTTTGAAACGAAGACAAATTAAAAGGTATATTATCATATATGAATTTATTATAACACAAACACAATATAGAATGTTGTTAACACTCCAAACCAAAGCAAGCTAGCAGCAAACTAAGTTGATTACCAGCATAACCTTACATGCATTACATATTAATCGTGCTGGCCACAAGGCATAGAGCATTTTTTTTGTGTACAACGATACCGGGTATCACATCGAAGTCTAAGTCTCCCATGTTTTTCCCGGCCGGCATTTCCCAGTTAAATTTGTAAAGAAGATTAGCAAGGGCAAGCTCCACAGTCATAACTGCCATATGTATTCCGGGACAACCCCTTCTACCGGCACCAAAAGGTATGAGCTCAAAGTCTAATCCTTTATAGTCAATAGAGCTGCCAATGAATCTCTCTGGATAGAACTCCTCTGGGTTTTCCCAAGCTTCAGGGTCTCTTCCAACTGCCCATGCATTCACGTGAACTAAAGTTTTGGAAGGTATTTCATATTCACCAATATTGCACTTTCGCTTTGTTTCTCGTGGCAATAACAATGGAGTTACCGGTTGCAATCTGAATGTCTCTTTTATCACAGCTTTAAGATAAATTAAACCTTGAATGTCATCTTGATTTACAAAACTTGTTTTTCCTATCAAGCTTCTGACTTCCTCTTGAACTTTCTTCAAACATCTAGGATTTCTTATTAGGAATGTCATGACCCAAATCACAGTGGCAGCACTAGTATCTGTTCCCGCGATAAACACATTCTGCATAAAAGAAGAAAAAAGGACATGAGGCAATTATATAAATATATATATATATATATATTCTGAAGGTATTGAAGCAATAATATTAATAATGATAATGCTTAATATTATAGTTAAAGTAAAGTTTTAAGAGAGGATGACCATTAGCACAGCTTTTATGTGGATCTTTCGAAATTTGTAGTAAAACGTCGATTATATCATCTTGCTCAAATTTTGATATATTTGGATCAAGATGTTCATCAATTGCTCAAATTTTGATATATTTGGATCAAGATGTTCATCAATAACTTCTTGATAGAAGATATCAAATTCTTTAAAAAATTTTTCAAGTCGATCGAGTAATCCAGAGAGTCTATCTACCCAACCCATGAAAGGAAAATAATCAGAAAAAAAGTAGGTCGCGATCATGGCTTGGCTTTCATTAAGTAACCCATGAAATCTGCTTCTTTTTGTTCCTTCTTCTTCATACCTCTTGCCAAATCCTACTCTACAAATTATTGTAGAGGTAAGACATATCATTGCCTCACTCAAATTGACAAGCTTAGAATCAACAGATAATTTGGATATTTTTGTAATCAGACGAGCAACTTCATCTTCTTGGATAAGACGATAGAGTTGTACCCTGTTAGAGTTTAAGAGATGAATGACACATATTTTCCTGATCTTCCTCCAATAATTATTATATGGAGTAAAAGCGAAATCTAAGTTGTTATAAGATAACTTTTGCGTCCCATGTAAAATAGGCCTACTGCAGAAGTCGAGGTCATGGGTTTTCATAACCTCTTTAGCCATTTTTGCTGAAGAAACAACCAGGGCTGGCCTAAATCCAAGTCGTAGGGACATGAGAGGGCCATACTTTTGAGAGAGTTTCCAAAGAAAAATATGATGGGCTGAGTTATCAAGCATCAGCAGGTGTAAATGACCGATCAAGGGCAGACCTGGCGGGCTAGGGGGAAGAAGAATATTGCCATTGTTTCTATGTTTTAGGAGAAAGAATAGGAAGAGGCTGGGGACGGCCAGGACAAAGAACAACAACACTACCATTGCGATCTGCTCAATCGATGGAGCAACTTGTGAAAATTGAGTGCAAGAGTCCCTTTATATAGCCTAATTAACCCACTGAGAAAACAAAAATTAGCTGACACTTCTAATAAAAAAATTTTAATAGTAATTAATAATGAGATTCATGGATGACGTTATCCTGCCAATGTATCTAAGTACTGTTCAGAACGCTATTCTCGCGTAGTTGGATTGCTTCTCTTTTTGGTGCCTAGCTAATTATAGGAAGGGATAAATAGTTGAAAATTGTTTCTTTTTTATGGGAT